GCTGATGAAGCCAATAGCCAGAAACACGTGTCCGCGGTTTGCTCCCCATTTGGAGTGTTGTGTCTACGAATTGTTTCATCTTTGAGTTGTATCATACACACTCGATAAACTCTCTATCTGTATTTATACTCTGGACCCTGATGCCACGCAGGTAGCTATAGCTGCCTACGTGGTAATGTTAGATGTAGCCTGGGAATTCTAGGTCTTCTAACTGGAACCACAAATGTGCGGTTGGCTCCTGTTGTTGACTCCGTGCGTATGTGTTGTTTCCTGTTTTCGGCAAACAAGTGTTGCCCATCTTTACACTTGGCTGCACCGCGCTGATGAGGTGATAAGGGAACTGTTGGAAGGTAGGTTGCACTATATCGTTTACTTGAACTATACGTAGGTACTTCAGTTACTCAGTGTTTATTACTTCTATGTGGAATTCGAATTGAGGTATGGAAGAAGTCCTCAAATCCGTTTTTGGAATACGCATTACCTGATATCGTGATGTGTTGTATAGCAACACTATTTGTTTTCTGAGAAAAATGATGTTTCAGTTTCGATTTTTGATCAGCTTCCACTCAAAAATTATACTTAGAAATTTCACTAAAATCTGTACAAAATGTAAGAGCTGTGGATACAATTTCGCCATATTGTTGAAAACTATGATTGTAATAATAACCATTAATAATGACAATAAATGTTACTGTAATAATTCAAAGTCATAGCCAACTAGAAAAATACGTACCGTGCTCCTTCGACTCGTATTTTTTTTCAACCAACCCTAGTAAATGAAGAATATCATATTGGGCAAAAAAGTTCTAATATATTGGCAGTTATTCCTTTTTGATTATTTCTCCACTTCTTCGACAGATGTCAAAGGATATTTCAAAACTCCTTTGACATCTGTCGAAGAAGTGAAGAAATAAACAATCAAACTGCCAATATATTAGAACTTTTTTGTCCCTTTCTGAAGACGGAGGCAGATTTTGGCCTCCGAAACTCTAAGATTGTGGAAGGTAACAAATACCCAAAAGAGGTCGATAAAAAAGAATACCATGTATTTATAAAGTAGACTACAAATTATTTTAGCAGAATTGGCACATTTATTTATAAAAATATAAATATACTTTATTAGAACTACGAAATACAAATCAATTCACAGAATTCATTTTATAAGAAAATCACCTCGAAGGTGCAACTTCGTTTCCTCCTGTACATAAAAGAGTACGAAGCCTGTTAGAAAAATAAGGTGAATGTTCAAATTTCGCGGGCTACAAACATTCGACTAGCGTTTTTTATGTTGGTACAGTCGTCCCAAACATATGTTCACAGGTGACAGGAATAAAAGTTAGAAGTGTTTTGTGACCCTGACCGGCCGATAAAAAAGTTGAGAAAATGAAGAAAATTGTTATGGTGAATCATCGAATCACTATCAGTTGTTGGTTCACAGATGGATCAAAAATACCTTTCGGTTCTGGTGCAGGGTTTTCAGTCGCAGACCCATGATAGAGATATCAACCTGCCTAGGAACCTATGCGACTGTATTTCAAGTGGAACTTTACGCTATAGAATTGTGTGCGGAGAGACTGGAAGAATCCAACCTCATACACAAGTCAATAAAAATATTCTCGGACAGTCAAACGGCGTTGGAAGCTCTTGGTTCCTCCCGAGCAACGTCTAAATTGGTGGCAAATTTCCAAAAACAACTCTCCTCGATAGGAAGACTTAACAGATTGTCTCTGGTCTGAATTACTAGCCATACTGGCCTGGAAGGCAATGCTACTGCTGACTCCCTTGCAAAAGAGGGTGCGACAAACAGCTTCATCGGACCAGAACCTGTCATTGACATCGCTTTAGGCTTTGCCAAACGAAGATTGAATACCTGGATGGCAAGAAGATTTATGGACTTCTGGCAGAATCGGCAGTGAGCTACAATTAAAATAGTTGTGTGATTGTACTGTATAGGTCACCATCTGCACATACTCCTCGAATACGTTTCAAAAAATTTTAGGTATATCTATCTGTGTGGAGATTTGAATATTAACAAACTAAATTTGTCAGTGAAAAATGTAATGTTACACGATTTGTTAGGTAGTTTTGGTTTAGAGTCTCTGATTAATGAGCCCACAAGAATAGCTAATGGAAGATATGGTCTAACGAAGACCTCTATCGATTATTTAATAACAAATATACCGCACAATTACTTAAAAATCCTGATATTGAACATACCGAATGCGAGATAACGGAAAATATAACCAAGAGAATTTTTTATGAAAATTCGATGATGGAATTTAAATCACTTTTCAGAAATACATATAATCTGATTAATGAGCCCACAAGAATAGCTAATGGAAGATATGGTCTAACGAAGACCTCTATCGATTATTTAATAACAAATATACCGCACAATTACTCAAAAATTCTGATATTGACCATACCGAATGCGAGATAACGGAAAATATAACCAAGAGAATTTTTGAAAATTCGATGATGGAATTTAAATCACTTTTCAGAAATACATATAATAAAATTCTTGATTTCACTGATGTTAAAAAAATTGACGATTTATTTGATGTTTTCTGGAGCGAGTTCATATATTGTTTTGAAATAGCTTTCCCTAAAAGAAAACTCAAGCTTAAAAAGAAAATAAACTCCCGTGTCTTCACCTTTTCTCAAACATTAAGAGAAGAATCAAGGAAACTTAAAGATCTTGATAGTCTTAGGAAAACTTATCATGATGACAACTTAAAAGCCCTGTATAAATCTAGGAAAAAGATGTATCTTAAGAATGTTGAAGAAGGAACGAAAACTTATTACAACACAAGAACAAGACCTTGTGGCAAGTTATTAACACAAAACTCTATGGAAATCACACCAAAAAGGAAATAATATGAAATAATGAAAATCAAATTGTAGAAAATGAGAAAGCCAACTCTGACTTATTTGCCACTCACTAATCTACATCAGTCCAACATGAACTCATTTCTCATTTCAAAACTCTGTCCAATGAATGCACCAGCACCTTGAAAATAAATAACTCTATGTTTTTTCTACCCGTATCTCCAGAGGAAATAAAAACTGTTATACTTAGTATGCCAAATAAACATTCAACAGTTGTTGATGAAATACCGGTTAAATTATTTGAAGAATGTATAGATTACTTATCACAATGTTTTGCACTGATAATCAATAAATCTGTAGAAATTGGTCAATTTCCCAGTAAATTGAAATTAGCCTTGATTATCCCTGTTTTCAAAAAAGGGAATACTCTAGACATAAACAATTATCGACCTATTTCTTTACTGAGTGTACTATCTAAAGTGATCGAAAAAATAATGACCATCAGTCTTAACAACTATCTCAATAAATTCCACTTATTAACCCCTTCTCAACACGGTTTTAGAGAAAAATTCTCCACCGAAACTGCTACAATTGAACTGATACAATTTATTAATGATGGTTTAAATAGTAAAGATTTTGTAATAGGTATATTTTTTGATCTTACATGTGCATTTGATACTTTAAACATCACTTTTGTGAAAGAAAAGTTGGAAAAACTTGGAATACGAGGAAATATTCAAAATTGGTTAATTTCATATCTATCTGACAGGAAACTTATAGTGAAAGTTAATAGTGTGTGTTCCTCAGAAAATGACATCTTTCTAGGAATACCGCAAGGTAGTGTTCTTGGTCCCATGATCTTTCTTCTTTATATAAACGATTTAACAAATTTTATATCTCAAGAAAAAGTTTTCTTATATGCTGATGACACGTCCATTATATGTAGAGGGAAAACACTTGATGATGCAATTAATGCTTCACATGCTGTCATACACGAATTTGAGTCATGGTGTTTCAGAAACAGGCTAATTATTAATTATGATAAAACCGTATGTATCTAAAACAAATTCAATCGATTCAAAAAATATTAAAATTCACATAAATAATCATGAGCTGAAAATAAGCAATGAAACAAAATTTCTGGGCGTCACCCTAGATGAACTCATTGCTTGGACTCCACATATAAATAAGTTATGTTCTCAATTGAGTCCATCATGCTTCGCCATTAATACATTAAAATATGATTTAGACAAGGAGTATCTGATAAATTCTAAGATTGCCTACAACATAGTTGTCTGGGGCCAAAGTGTTGATGTGCATAGAGTGTTTGTGATACAAAAACGAATTTTAAGAACAATTTTCAGACTGAAGCCAACAGAAACTTGTGGGGGCTCATTTATTAAAAACAATATATTACCAGTAGTGGGAATATATCTATATAAATTATTGATTTATATCCATATCAACAAAAGTAATTTGAAAACAAATGCAGAATTTCACAATTATTCCACTCGAAATAATTCAAACCTCCGCATTGCTAAATGTAATGTGTCTCTATAAAAAATCACCTTTACATGCAGGTGGTGACTTATATAAAAAATACCGACTGATTTTAATTCAATTAAAAGTCCTTCAGAATTTAAAAGACAATTAAAATTATTTCTCTGCAAAAACTGTTTCTCCAGTATTGATGAATTTTAAACTACCAGCAATCTGTTTACAATATTTAATTCCATTTAAAGGTAGTTGCCCTATTTTTATATCTTAACTTATTACCCTTATTATTATTTGTGTTTGATTGTAATGTACTATTTTTTGACATGTTCTATCCAATCTTTTTTTGCTTACAGAATACATTTGTATTCTATTCTATTCTATTCTAATCTTCCTGGATTGCTGCGATGTCTAACAGGCCTTCTTACAAGTCACTGTCATTTGAATCATCATGTAGAGACTCGGCAGATACGTACTTTAACCATCTGACCTGAAATACTACTCACCATACAAATTGATCGGCTTCGTTAAGAAGCTGGGCTTATTTGGTCGAGTGTGAATAGGTGTAAGCCACAATAAACTCTTGCGGGTTGCGGTGGAGGGTCGAATAGGCCCACTCATTTTGGACTTAACCTAACCTAACTATTAGAGAAGTTGCTGAGGATGTTGGCATTTTTTTAGTAAATTTTGGACTTCATCGGTGATTCAGATTTGCTCAAAAGAATCATAACTAGTGACGAATCATGGATATATGCTGTCATAAGTGTATTATGTCTGAGGGTGGCTATTCTGAGGACAACAAACGAGAAATTGATGATACTTTCTGAGAAAAATGAAAATTCACCTTTTTTGCAAAGACCTCGCATTCCGTTCGAAATTTCAACCAATATGTACTTTACTGCAACAACAGCACAGTAGGCTCAAAGCTGCCAACAACCCTCCTTTTCTTACACCTGCCAGTAAGTTAATGTCGTCCTCTTGTGCTATCGATGGTTCACTAACTTCGTTTCTCATGATCGGGGAGAGATTGTCGCTCCTTTCATTTAGAGGGTTCTGTGGTTGTTGCACGATCGCCTCAATACTGCTTGTCGAAATATCATTCTTCGGTACAATCCGTGTGTTACTTTCCAATATAGGGGTTCCTGGTTTTATCTGCGGATCTTTGCGAGTTTTTGACATGCCCATACTGCTATTTTCTTCAGCAACCCAAGGATTATTTTTATCTTCTGTTCTATTGCATCCTGGTTGTTTTCGAGCTGTTGGCACATAAACTTTTGAAAACTCTGCTGGAGAGTGACGCGGTTCATCTTCATCAAGTGCATACAATAAGTTGTTCGCCGTTTCGTTTTGAGGGTTCTGCGGATGTCGCATGATGGTCTTATTGTTACTTATCAAAATATCATTCCTCGGTACAATTTCATTGTAACTTTCTAATTTAGGAGTCGCTGGTTTGATCTCCTGGTCTTTAGGAGTCTTCCACACATCTCTAATAGTATACTCTTTAGCAACCCATGGATAATTTTCTTTTTCAACTTCTATTTTATTCACGTGTGCTCTTGCGATATCAATTTTTTCCTTTGCAGAATTCTCTACAACTGTTTCTGAGTAATTGGAGGAAGAATTTGATGACTCATTACTGCCAAATCTCAAAAAAGTGTTCTTTTGTGTTTCTGGTGTCTTAGGATCCGGTTGTTTTTTCGAAGCATCTTCTAATATCTTCTGTTCTCGATTTGATGCTACCTGGATATGCTTCGAATGGTTTGGTTCCGCGTAAATGTGCATTAGATGGTTGACTGCTTCGTTTAAATCATTTGAAAACCTGTTATGTGTATCATTATAAATGTTTCCCTCATTTGGAACATAATTCACCAGATGTTGCTGAACAGAATTCACCAGGGGCGTTTTTGGCATTTCTGTTCGTAATTCCTTGTCTATTCGCAGATATTCTGCATCCATCGGAGTCGTTTTATTTATACTTTGGTGCTGCACTAGATGGTTGAGTGCTTCGTTAAAATTATTTGAAAACCTATTATGTGTATCATTATAAATTTTTCCCTCATTTGATACATAATTCACCAGATGTTGCTGAACAGAATTCACCAGGGGCGTTTTTGGCATTTCTGTCCGTACTTCTTTGTCTCTTCGCAGGTATTCTGAATCCATCGGAGTTGTTTTATTTATACTTTGGTGCTGCACTAGATGGTTAAGTGCTTCGTTAAAATTATTTGAAAACCTGTTATGTGTATCATTATAAATTTTTCCCTCATTTGGAACATAATTCACCAGATGTTGCTGAACAGAATTCACCAGGGGCGTTTTTGGCATTTCTGTCCGTAATTCTTTGTCTCTTCGCGGGTATTCTGAATCCATCGGAGTCGTTTTATTTATACTTTGGTGCTGCACTAGATGATTAAGTGCTTCGTTAAAATTATTTGAAAACCTGTTATGTGTATCATTATATATTTTTCCCTCGTTTGAAACATAATTCACCAGATGTTGCTGAACAGAATTCACCAGGGGCGTTTTTAGCATTTCTCTCCGTAATTTCTTGTCTCTTCGTGGATAGTCTGAATCCATCGGAGTTGTTTTATTATTACTTTGGTGCTGCGCAGAAAAAAACATAGTAGACTTGGTCAAGGTCGAATCATATTGGGTTTCTGATATCTTTGGCTCCTCAACGCTATTGTTCCAGAATGAGCTGGATACGGATTGATTTTGATCAACAAAATTACCAGCGTTTGAAGTAGGTATAGTTGAGTCGCACTTATCAGATATGATGAAAATGGGTTTCTTCGATGTGCTTCCTTTTCCCATATTTTTGTTGACTTCAAATGCTCCTTCATTAACGGCTATTCTTGGAGTGCCTTTCTTGTGATTGCTCTTGATATTCCTTCCTTTATTTGGAATCCCACGTTTTTTTTTTGGATGTTTCACATTATGATTCGTTTTATTTCTATTACCTTGCTCTTTGATAATATTCTTGTTCCGAATAACCACTACTTGGCTTGAATTTATCTCTATTGGTTGCGGTTTGTATTTATAATATTCCTCGTCAAAACTGCTTTTTCCACTGTCGCTTGAATTATTATCACTTTCGTAGTACAAACCATGAATTTTCAAAGCCAAATTATCCTCCTCTCTTTTGGAAATGCCTGGTCCAACGTTCTCTTTAGTTTCCTCATCATGTTTCTTGTGATGCCTTTTGTAGTAGTATCTTGGATTTTGCTTTATACATTCTCTTTTCCTTCCTGCACCCTCTATAGTGGTCCAGTCTGTATCCATTACTAGTCGATAAATTCCAATCAGTCTTCAGGACATAGGTAATCCTGCAGATGAAATTATTATTTGGTAGTGAACATCCAAAAAACCATTTGAAATATGTACCTTTTTCAAAAGTTATTTCTTTATTGATTTGAAAGCTTGAGATAAGATTAGATCCACCAGATGGTTTCATTTTTGACTAAAGCAACACACGCTCCTTCAATCAAAACAGAAAAAGGTGAATTTATGCACCACATTCTTACTTTCTTCTTACAAGAGGAAGATTAAATTGATCTTCTTAAAGATGATCACTTGGTGATCGAAACACGTGTTGAGCTGTTAAAAATAACGGTTTGGTGTTGGGATGAAACCCCACTAATAATCATGAACACACCAAAGGTTCCAAACAGTGCCTCACAAGAGGAAGATTAAATTGATCTTCTTCTTGAAGATGGTCACTTGGCGATCGAAACACGTGTCGAGGTGTTGAAAATAACGGTTTGGTGTTGGGATAAAACTACAGTAATATTCACTATATGAACAACCTTATTCCAGTCATATCATTACAGTAAAAGGTTGATTAAATGAAAAATGAAAGATCAAGCTATGAACCTTCGTTATACAGTGTGTCCGCAAAGTATAGAATAAAGTCGATATTACCAAAACCAAAGGTCGTTTTACAAAAACCTGAAACACGTCGATTTTTAATTTTATTATTCTACGCAACACCCTATATTTTTTGGTGTCAAGTTTTAGATAATCCGTAACGAGCTGATTCCGAAAAGGTGTGATACTTGGGGTCTAACGGACAGAATTTGAAAGATGTGCGCTTAGAAAAAAAATTTTATTGAGATCTTATAAAAGTAGGAATTAAATAATTATTTTATATTTCTTTCTAATTATTAATTTAACAATGGGAAGGTAATCCAGTAATAAATACATGACGTTATTTTAAATGTTCGAACTGTAGTCCTTGTTGTAGTTGACAGTAACCGTGCTAGATTAGATTAGATTAATATGGGGATCCTGTGCTACACTGCTACAGCCACTACACTGCGACCTCTGCAGGTCTATTGTGTGTGCCCTCATGTATGCTAGAGTTCCTTGTCTAGGCCCGTCCTTTGTAACTAGACTCCATAGGCCAGACCTCAAGTTCCCCATATATTGAGAGGGTTGTGGTTTTTCCTCTCCTAATGTTGCAAACCTTATCCTTGACAGACCTTCGCAATAGCATAGTATGTGTACGGAGGTTTCCTCATCCTCTTGGCAAAGCCTGCATAGGAATGTGTCTACCAGTCCGATGTTGTTCATGTGTTTGTTGAGTCTACAGTGTCCCATCAATAGCCCGACCAGAACTCTAGTTGATCGCCTATTCAGACTTAGTAGGTATTCCGTGAATTTTGGCGATGGCTCTTTAATGAACTCTTTGGCCTGTCTCATACTCGGCGCCTCATTCCACCATTTTTGAGATTGTTTTTCCTTCCAGTTGCTGTTACAACCGTGCTAACAAGTATTACTTATTAATTTAAAAAAACTAGGTAGCTAATATTTTTTGTTGTTGTGAAATGTCATTATTTCGATTGACGTTCAGTAACTGTTGAATAGGACAGTAGTTGTTGTATTAATTCGTGAATTTTCTGTAGTATTGCTTCGAATTAATTTGAAGTAGTAATGAATTTAAGTGTAAAGCAAAGAATTGAAATACTTATGATGACTGGCTATGGAGACAGATCGCGAACTCGGATGGAAGTGTGTAACTTATTGAATGAAAAATATCCAGAAAGACGCATAACGCAGTCAGCAGTAAGTAATATTGAAAAGAAATTTCGAGAAACTGGTACAGTTGAAAATGAATGTAAATTAGGTCGTCCTTCTGTAAATGATGATACAAAACTAGATGTTCTACTTGCTTTTGAAGAAGATGTGCACACTTCTGTTCGTAAGGTTAGCCGTGATTTCGATGTCAGTAAAACAACTGTACACAAAGTATTAAAATTGGAAAAATGGCATCCCTTTAAAATCGAACTTCTACAGGAATTAAACGAGGATGATCTAGTTAGAAGAATAGAATTTTGTGAAGCCATGATGGAAAACTGTCACCGAGACCGTCTCCTCGTAAAAAATATAATTTTTTCTGATGAAGCCACTTTTACATCAAATGGTGGGGTCAACCGTCAGAATTGTAGGCACTGGGCCAAAGAAAATCCCCACTGGATGCGTGAGCATCGTACACAATACCCGCAAAAGGTAAATGTATGGGCTGGCATTGTGAGAAACAGGATCATCGGACCCTACTTTTTCGACAGTACTTTAGACGGGCCAACATACCTTCGATTTTTAAAGGGATATCTTGTACCTTCTTTAATTAATTCATTCCCCAGTAGAATTAATCCTGGAAGTTTTGATGAAAGTTTATGGTTTCAACAGGATGGTGCGTCTCCACATTATGCTGCAGATGTTCGAAGGTATCTCGACCACATGTTTACCAACCGATGGATTCGTAGACGTGGGCATTGAATGGCCAGCGAGGTCGCCAGACTTGAATCCGTTGGATTACTTTATGTGGGGCCATCTGAAGAAGGCTGTTTATAATACGAAACCAGCAAATATTCAAGAATTAAAAGAGAGAATTCGAACAGAAATAAACAATATTTCTCAAGAAACCATAAACAAGGTTCAACAAGAATTTATTCAACGTTTAGGTTACTGTCAAATATAGCAAGGACATTTAAAATTAAGTCATATTTTTAACTGGATTACTTTCCCACTGTTAAATTGATCATTATAGAAAAATATAAAATAATAAATCAATTTCTATTTTTATTAGAAATCAATAAAATGTATTTTTTAAGCGCACATCATTCAAATTCTGTCCGTTAGACCCCAAGTATCATACCTTTTCGGAATCAGCTGGTTACGGATTATCTAAAACTGACACCAAATACAGGGTTAAAAAAATTACCGATGACGTCATCACATCAATATGGATCACCCTGTATAATGAAATTTTATTGTGAAATGTAGAATATAAAAAGAAAAAATCGACGTGTTTCAGGTTTTTGTAAAACGACCTTTGGTTTTGGAAATATTGAATTTACTCCATACTTTGCGGACACACTGTATGTAAAAGTTCAACTACAAATACACTCAAAGACGAGTTTAATGAAGGTCATAACGTATCCGAACCTGAAGCCTGACATCTACAAAAAATTCACTAACAAGACATTGCAATTTATGTGACTTCCATCCATCGTATTCACTGGGATTTACCGGATGGTGTAGTGAAGCTTTTGGAATATGGATTCATGAACGAATGTTGAAGATATTTTGGACTCACTGAATCACAAACCGGAATTGACCTTTACAACACTCAAACGGAATTTCGAATATTTGTGACAATTTGGGAAAAGGGGACTGAATATGAGATTCAGAAAAACAAAACATAATAATCAATAATATAAATAATCTTCAAGAGTTGTACCAATGTCGATCAGTTGATTTGCTATGAACATCTATCCTTGATACAGTGAACTTGTATACTCCGTAAAGTGCTTGGGGGAATCCCACAGATTCACAATTTTTTTAATGTAATCACAATCTCTCTCACTTTACTTTTCAAGAAGCAATACCGTAAAGACTTTGATTTAGGAATATTCCTCAGAAAATGGTACATATTTCTCTGTTGTCTCTCAATGAGGACTTACCAAGATTTCGAAATTCCACGTCAAAAATTGGGGCTTCCTTCTCAGAATTAGTTATCGCCATACACTTACACACAGTTTGATATTGAAGTTCAATATTTCATTTCTGCCATAACATTCATATCATAGTGGAAGCGACTAGATCGTATTTGATCGATTGTTTTATCAGTGGCCCATTACAATATTTACATTGATTATAGGAATAGATAAAACGTTCATTGTTCAGAGATAAGGAAATCGTGAATAACTTCGATTACAGTGTGTACACCATTGCAGAATTCACGTACAAGGAATGTTCAAAAAATAAGGGGATTTATTAATTTATTCTTCATTTTCTATTTTGTTTCCTTCAGAATAGTCCCCCTCAGATATAATACACTTGCTCCAGCGTTTTTCCTAATCCTCGAAGCAGTTCTGATACTTGCGCACTTTTTGGTATGGTCTATCCATTCCCAATTGGAACGGCAATAAAAATAAGAGTACAGTCATAAACATTTTTTGCCTGTGGCCCCTAGTCGCCCAGATAGTTAATAAACGTGCTATCAAATGTAGTTGAGGAGTAAAGGCTCGGCTAGCTGGACTGGCTGAAAACTAATTTTTTGTCCGTTTCACAATATTTCTTTATCAGTGCCGTGTGTTCGTGTGGTTAGGTGAGGTAGTGAGTTGTTTTGCAAACCGATTTTTGAAAACTTTTTCTAGAGATCAATTACCCTAACACCAAACTGATTTTTTGCACTCGACGCGCGTTTCGCTAACAAGGTTAGCATCTTCAGGAGAAGCAAATTGATACTGAATCTAAAGACAAGGGTTAGCTGTTTATATACCTGAAGTTTTATGGTCCGATGTGGACTTTGTTTGTTAAATGATGATTATCCTAATTAATTTTTCGGTAATTCACAAGTGAAACCACTACTTGCAAATTAATTTGTCAACAACAGATTAAAAAGCTGACTCTATTAGCATCTGGCAAGAACATTGAAACATACTCTATGTTTCAATATTCAAATGCATCCGAATATCCTATTCACTGGTAGTTCTTTTTCACATTGTTCACCATCGCTATTGGAATCACTACACTGGAAAAAGTCTGTGTTTTTATCACACTCTTATTACTATTAGTACTTGTCCAAGGACGCCATATTTTAAATAGATAACAAAAATTTCAAGTAATTATAACTGCACCAGTATCGAATTTCAACACTCAAATCGCGATCGGTTCCTGAACTGAACACGACGGCGATACCAATCCCCGCATTCCCCGATTTCTATTCGTCACCGTAACATGACTTCAAATTTAATTTTATGACTCTTCAGCCAATCATAAAACTCGGTTAGTAAAAATTATCCAATACGAATCGCCAAGTCTACAATTCAGTGGACTAGTTCGCAGCCGGTTTATTTCTATGTATTGTTTTTTTGGCCTTTGAGAGTGGCGCCAACTTCAAAAGTGCACAATATTGTTTACTTCGACTATACCAAATATTTAAAGCATCAATATAATGTACATAATAACATAATATCCCAAAAAATATGTTACAGATGACAGCCATTAACACATAATATAAATACTATTTTTAGCTGCTATCGCTATCTCGAAAACGGTAAGACCTACAAGGTTGGTTTCATTGAACAAAAGTTTTTCATTTTGGGGAACTAGAATACTTTTTTCAGATCGAGAACCTCAGTGGTTGTTTTTGAAATATTCGCCAAAAACTAGAATTGGAACTGTCGATATTGTGTCATATTTGTTATAATCTGATAAAAAACAATTTGCAATGCGACGGTTCCTTCATTAGATTTCATCTTTGACTTGATTTTACCAAATACAGACCTATATTGTAATGCATATCTAAATTTGTTATTACAGTAGCTACAAGTCAATAAAAAAACTGAAGGTCCGTATTTAAAAAAATAAAGTTGATGATGAAATATAATCAACGAAACGTCGCATTGCAAATTGGTTTTTATCAGATTATAACAACTACGAGTATGAAACAGTATTGAAAGTTCCGCTAACTTTTTTTATATCATTCGAAGTGGAAGCGGTAGAGCCAAAAAACAAAATACGACATTCTAGTTTTTGGCGAATATTTCAAAAACAACTACTTATATTGTCGATCTGAAAATATATTATTCTAGTTCCCCAAAATAGGAAACTTTTGTACAATTTTACAGATCTTGTAGGTCTTACAGTTTCCGAAATAGCATTAGTAGGATCAGTTAAAACACAGCCTATACAAGCTGTTTTATAACATAAAATAATTGGTCTTTTTTGTATTTCTAAAATGGTGGTCTTCCTTTCGGCCTAAAACCGTCCACCTTCAAATATTCGAAATGTCTGAATACACCAGAAAAAATACATATTTTTCATTGACCAAAAAATACGAATTTTTATCAGCTCGAAAAGTATAATTTTTGAAATGAATTTATAGTTCAAAATTTAACCGAATATGCCAATCATCAAAAAAATGTATATATCATGCCATTTTTATTATTTCATATTATTGTTTATTGAAAATTCATCAAAATAACCAACATTATAAAACACCCTCTCAGTATAACACCAGATCTGTCGATTTTTTGAAAATATTTAAAATGTGTCAAACTTCAGAAGTTGCAATTTTAATCTGTTATAAACAGAATGAATCATTATTTCAAATATAGATGTTGTTACAGTGTAGAAGAGTATTTACAAAACAATTTTCGATAATATTATAGTTGCATTTAATTATAACATATATACGAAGATAATGCTAGTTGTTAATTTTGGCATTAAAGATATACCTAATTCTTGCTGAAGTTTTACGATATTGTTAGCCTCTTCGTGAAATTATTAGTTTCTGCTATAATTATTATTGTTTTACTGTTTTTCAATTGCCTAAGTGTTTGTTTACCCATGACTATGTGTAGATGTTCCCAACTTGTTGTTGGAGATAAGACTGTTTATTTATATGACCTGCTACAAACGCAATAAATGATCTATATGCCTATTTATCTATTTTCCTGTTTAACATACAAACTGAGGAAATGCTTAGCATGGTCTCATCGATAAAGAGCTAGCAGCAGCACTAATAAATTTTGAAATTGAAAAAAACAACAGTGAAAAGTAAACTGCATGGTCCTCATCTATCCTTGATGCTTTCTAGGACTGAAAAATTGACAAATACACGACAAAACCTATATATGAAGTGTCCACATGGCGGGATGCCATGTGGTCTTTTCTACTGTGGCCACGTGTTCCCGAATAGACAAACAAGACTGGAGAAAATGTGTTAAATATTTACATGACATTTAGGAACGCCCTGTACAAAATAAAATTGAAGATACTAGACGATAAATATATGTAGAAGGAAAGAAACTCTGTACTCACCCCAATATTCACTAATTTTTCATTAGATATTTTGATAATTCGCTAAAAGTTTTCACTCTGCTAATCCTCTGTTGTAATGGCTTCAACCTTCAGGATCTCACTAGTTTGAGTGAATTGTTATTGAAAAGGGACTGTAAAAGCTCTCTACCTGAAGAATATTCCGGAACGAAGTTCATAATACATTTTTGAATATTATTGAAATCAAATCAGAATTTCTATAAGGCTAACAAAAAATGGAAAAGAGTATCGAAAATATTGACAAATGTTCTAGTTTTGATTATCATTGTCAATATCGAAGTTTCTACCCATGATTGTCTTAAATTTATTAAACGAAAAGGGATTTTGGTATGTATCAAGGAAAGCATCAAAGAAGGGAGCAGTTGTTCATTGATAGAAAATCCGAAGCAATGTTGCCAGATGATATTTTTAAACTGAAAATGGTAAATTTTTAGGAAAGAATAATTTTTCGTGATAAAAAGCTTTCTAGCTTCCACTTCCCCATCTATATACAAAAAACTGTGGAAAATTGCAACTTCTTTCACACGAATGAATATTGAATTTCACGAAACTTTGGAAGTTTCCTACATTTTTTTTGTATAAAGAAAGAAAGCCAAAGAGTTTTTGCTATGATACTTTTCATTATTGCAAGTCAATTGTCAGTGAATACTCTGCAGTCATACAAAACTGGATGTGAAAAAGCTGAAGCATGACATTTTTAAAATTCAGCCAAAGCAGTCTGGCTGTTAATTCAAAACAGAACTTTTATTATTATTATTATTATGATCAGATAAAACAGTGAACAATAAGACAGGTTTTCAGGCAATCACGTTTTGTTTTAAAATATACTGAAATTTTATTGATTTTTATTTTTGCAATCACCCACATTTCTATTTTCGGATTTTTTTTCAACAAATGTGAAATGTAAACTTTCATATTGCTGTTATATTTTTGAATTCATATATTTTCAATGTTTTTGAAAGTCGAAGAAAATGAATATGGATTAAATATTAAGTGCAAATGTAACAACTCTCGATGCAGGGAATCCAACTTATTTCAGATTTCATCCTTTTTCTTCGGTATTTTCATATTTAGTGACTTGTCTTTGCTGACTCCAGTTTTTCTTCAGATTACTAATACTATAAAAATACAATCATTATTTCTCCGAGTACCTATAATATTTCTTTTTAATCTAAAGAAATTTCTTTACATCTGGCAACATTGATTCGTATCTCAATATCCCCACCCGAACAGTGTTGCCAGAAATGTTTCGGTGAGTACTAAGCAGTCTGGTTTGAATTAGCAGCGAAAAAAGTTGATTACCCTAACCCGTTTGCTTTTGGGCAGTGATTCCTTTTTACAAAAATAAAAAAAATTCTAATTTTATAGTTATGTTCATGATAAATATGAAGTGAAATATCACCTGTATTTTTCATGATTGAGAATTAGAAATACCTTTTCTGTCCATTACTTTCATTGTTGAAATTAATTTAATACGTAGGATAATTACGAAAACTTTTTTAAAATCTTTAAAAATAACTTCTTTCCAAAAGTGGACGCTTTTTTATACAATTTATATAAATGTATCATAACACATAAAATTCAATTAGGAAAGCAACTTCAATCAAGTGAAGAGTAGCAAATTTCGACAATTCTAAACCGTTTCTAAAATCGATAATCAATAGTGACTAATTTAAAGATGGCGATTACTTTCTTGGTTTTTTATGCCTGTAATCCTGTATTGTAATTTTTGTAGATGATTATGAAAAATAACTTTCAAGTCCCGATACAACATAGATACAGTCATTTTCTTTTGAGACTTGCGCTTTTATTTCTCTAGGACATGATTGGGATAAGCTGATTCATAAGAATGCAACATACAATGTAAACGTAAAAAGTTCCCCTCTCAATTTCTGAACGGGCCGAGATATCAAGATAAAAAGGTATCAGTTATAAAATATTCTGATGAAAAAAAAAATAATATAACGTAACTCGCCATTGAGGGAACGTTGAAAACTTTTTTTTCGATTAGAGACAGATGTCTTGTGGTACCACATTTGATAGACGTGTCAATGATTCAATTAATTCCAGATTAATTAGCGGGTCGATTCGATGTGGGTGCTTTGTTCACTCAATCAATCGGTAGTTCAAGCCGCAGGCTGAATGATCGATTTTCACTTGCTATCGTCCAACCCGTGTTAGGCATCACACATTAAAAGGAAAGACCTCGTTGGTCCAGTGCGACAGCTGGTTAACGGAAAAATATATTTCAAAAATATTTTTTTCAAACGTATTTCATTCTTTTTAAAAATTTGCAAACGACAAATATCGTAATTTAATTCTAAATATACACCATAATTCAACAGTGTCAGTTCTGTTGATACCCTGAGAGAATTCAACTGTTATCAATTTGAATTGTTAACATTATCAACTATTGAAATATTTGTTATTTTCACTGCAACACCGGAAATTCTATCGTTCTTGGCAATACTGCGTCGGGGAATATTGTCGGTTTTCAGTATTCGTTTTTTCGGGTAAGTCCGCGAATGGTCGTTTCTAACCCTAACGCGACCAGGGTGGACTTGAACTTTATCGGGGTGGTTCACAGGTCCGGCTTTGACCTTCTGTGTGGAAATAGTTTGAGATTTCCACTTGATGATTTCAAAGTAAAATGTAAAGGTATTTAATTTTCTTATCGTATTCGATCTAGAAAATACTTGAGGCTCGCTTCTACGGTAAGAAGTAAAACATTAAGTGAAAACTGAAAACATTTACTCAACTACTCGTGCAATAGTTTAGACACATTAATCACACTGGCCGAGTTGAAAGATTGGTTTAGTAGAATTTATTTTTATACGAGTAGATAACAGACTTCAACATTTCATAAAATTATTACAGTAACTGAATACAGCCTGCTTTAAACATTAAATTCATTTTGTGTCGTGTTGACGCTATAAAGAACTTACGATAAAAATGTACATTCAGAAACAAAACCCACAATACAGGAATTTACAAGATAATAGAATCAGAAATCACTAGAAACTAACAATTACTAAATGACGGATTTCAATTGGAATCTAAGTATTTTAATTTCAATTGAGACATCATTTTTTTGTTGATGGTCATCAGTTTCAGCAAATAAGTACAGACTTTTCAGAAAATATATATTCTGTCTCATAAAGATTTTTATGATGAATCAATGTCGTGTTACAATGAACAATATTCGATTAAAAATGCATATATTTTGCTGTTGATGATGAAAAGATTATGATCGATCAGATCATAACCAATTGTATCGTTAATAAAAAAATTCTGCAACTGCTAATGACAATTATTATTATTCAACTAAACTACTTACCCTGTAGATTAGAAAACAATTCCAACTGACTACTTCACTAAAAGATTATTCAACAACTTTTTAACAATAAAACTAAAATGAAGTAACTTAAATCGAGAATACAGCTTTTTGTAGTTGAATGAAATAGCTTATATCGAAAATACAATTTGATTGTACTATAACTTGGATCCGTGTGCCAGGAGACGTGTGCAAGGTCGATCTCCAACTGTACACTGCTATGAATCAATGCAATGTTTTTAAAACGTCTATAGAGGGGTGTTGAAGCGTAAATTCGTAATCTGCAGCGGTATGAGTCATAGCTGGCAAAACAATCAACAAATGCTACCTACCCGTGTTTCGTAACAGACATAACCGAATTCTGGTGTCGTTGTTTAATATACTCATTTGACAGTTCACGTATTGTTTAATAAGAATTTCCTCTCTTTAAAAACTAGTGTTCTTACAATGACACCCAGTCATTGCTCATCTATTCTGCTTATTTTTTCCTCTTCTTTGACATCATCTGTATTGCAACTCATTCACATATTTCAATAGTTTTTAGTTTTGTTCTTCCATAGATTTCAAATCTTTCAATACCTTTTTGAAGAATGTAAGTCCTAACTTGTAACATTCACCAAGAAAAATTGTCAAAAACTTTTGAACCAATGAAATTTTACTTTTTGAAACTGATATAAATTTTGCTCGGTGATACTGTATTATACAATAGTCAAAAATTAATCTATGATTACCTCTCTTGAATGATCTGTGACTATCTATCCCAATCCTTTTGAAATTTTGACTTTTGGATATTGAACATTTCATTTTTTACTAACTTGATACCGATTCAAAAATATGAAAAAAACAAATTAAACTCGAAGGAAAGTATCATTAAGAAAACATTTTACACCTATCAGAAAACAACTACTCCCCTGGCTGATACCACGAAGGGCGTTGGATTATATCCGACAGGATCAGTGCAGGATCCTCCACTGAACTCATTACTGCATATGCTGTTGGCGATACACTGCCGGAATCGATTTATTAATTATAGAACCGGCACATTTGCAGACCGGTTTCGGGCTATTTGGCCTCTTGTTTACCAGGTGGGGCGATGACATACATGTTGTTTGTTGTTTGCTTCAGCTTGGTTCGGGGAATGATACACTGAAAGGAATTCCAATTTTAATTATGGAATATCATCGACTCTACGTTGATGATGGTTACTACCTTCCATTGACTAGAGGCCAAATGGCCCGAAACCGGGCTGCAAGTGTGCAGTTGCTGTATTTCTTGATATTGAAGGAGCATTTGACAATGTACTACCTAAATCTATAGGATTGTCTCTGACTGGGAAAGGTATAGAATCGACCATAAATGGCTGGATCTATGCCATGCTAGTAAACAGAACTGCAACTACGACTCTTCAAGGCGAGGCTATCAGGTTCAGGGTCACCAGGGGCTGCCTTCAAGGTGGGGTTCTATCTCCCCTTCTGTGGTCGCTCCTGGTGGATAGTCTGCTTGATGCCCTTGACAGAAAAAAAGTTGATCTACAAGCTTATGCAGATGAAGTTGTCATCCTGGCAAGGTCCACGTCGGGAAAGGTAGCTTGTAAAATCCTCCAAAGCACGTTGGACGTTGTTTACAGCTGGTGCCTGAGGGAGCAGATGTCTGTCAACCCCAGCAAAACTGTGTTAATCCCCTTCACCAAGAGGAGAACATTGGACGATTTACTCCACTTTCCCTCAATACTGAGGTCATTCCATTTGGAACGGAGGTGAAATATCTTGGCATTGTCCTTGATAAAAGATTCACTTGGAACGCTCATTTGGAAAAAATTTTACACAAAGCCAGACTGTCTCTATGGAAGTGTCGAAGGATGTAGTAAAACTTGGGGTTTAGGTCTGAAACAAATCCATTGGATTTATGTGATGATTGTCAGATCAATTATCACTTATGGTGCAATTGCCTGGTGGCCGAAGGCTTTACAGAAAACGGCTCAAGCAAAGCTCTCTGGCTTACAGAGACATGCTTGTCTGGCTATCACTGGTGCCATCAGTACCACACCGTCAGCATCCATGGAGATCATTCTAGATCTACCTCCTCTCCACATTTTTCTGGAAAGAGAGGCTAGATGGACTGCATACAGACTTGTGCACATTGCCAGTCGCACAAATCAATCTAATGCAGACTGCAACAGACTGTTGGTTGACACTGGAAATCACAGCATTCTGAAAATGACTTCTGACTTTATACCTCCAACTGTCAACTACGAACTGCCTTATAAAGTACTATTCTCGAGTAGAGCGGACTGGATCCTCCGGGAGAAGGAAATATTAAGAGCAGATAGTTGTTGGTTCACAGATGGATCAAAAACACCTTCCGGTTCTGGTGCAGGTGTTTTTAGTCGCAGACCCGGGACAGAGATATCTATTTTCCTATGAACTTATGCGACTGTATTTCAAGCGAAAATTTACGCTATTGAATTGTGTGCGGAGAAATTGGAAGAATCTAACCTCATTCACAAGTCAATAAAAATATACTCGGACAGTCAAGCGGCGTTGGTAGCTCTTGGCTTCTACCGAGAAACGTCTAAATTGGTAGCAAATCGCCAAAAACGAATCTCCTCGATAGGAAGACTTAACAGATTGTCTCTGGCAATGAAGCTGTTGACTCCCTTGCAAAGAAGGGTGCTGCAAGTAGCTTCATCGGACCAGAACCTGTCATTGGCATCTCTTTAGGCTTTGCCAAACAAACATTGAACACCTGGATGGCAAGAAGATTAATGGACTTCTGTCAGAATCTTCCAGGATTGGCTCACTCCAAGGCGATTATTCACCTTTCGAAGCTTGATACCAAACAGTTGTTGGACTACAGTAGGGATGAACTTCGAAGTCTAACAGGCCTTCTCAAAGGCCACTGTCACTTGAATCATCATATGCAGAGACTAGCACTATCGTAAGACAGTGTGTGTCGCTCCTGTTTGGAAAATGATTGAACAGCAGAGCACATACTTGGTGCCTGCCCAGCAGAGTCGTACTCTCCCCATCTGACCTGAAAGACCTCTCACCATACAAACTAATCGGCTTCGTTAAGAAGCTGGGTTCATTTGGCCGAGTGTGAATAGGTGTGAGCCACAATAAACCCTTTTGGGTTGCGGTTGAGGGTCGAATAGACCCACTCACTTTAGACCTAACCTAACCTAACCTGCAAGTGTGTCCGTTCAATAACTGAAAATCGATTCCGGCAGTTGTATCGCAAACAGCATATGCAGGAAATACTTCAACGAAAATTCCTGCAATGTCATCTGTCAGATTTAATCCAATGCCCTTCGTGGTATTAGCCACGAGAGTAGTTGTGTTCTGAAAGGTGTCAGGCCATTATTCTATAGTGCAAGGAGTTGAGACTTGCCTGAACGAATTGTTCCTCCAGATGATTTGATTTATAGTCAGTCTTCAAGTATGCCCACTGACTATATGTGAAAATGTTTCCATTTTTTTTCGTAAAATTCTCATCGAATTATTTCACAAAGTTCATAAGTCATTTCCCAAGTAAACTCAGATAGTTAGCCTCAATGAGGATGTTTTATCTGTTTGAATTATATATGTGACTAGTACTATGTTGTTGTATCGCTGCTGTTGCAATGTTTTAACGGAATCAGAATCAATGAACTTAGTCGTGCGCAGCGTTACAGAACAGTGCTTTCAAAAAATTCTTCTACAGTGCCATCTAGTGGAGAGTTACAGAAAAATTGATAGCCTAAAAACCTTCTCTATGAAAAATTACTTATACATGTCAAGTTTCATCACGATCGGTTGTGCGACCAACCAACCAACCAACCAACAAACATCCATTTTTATACAGTGTGACCCATTTAAGATGGAAGCACCCTTATAAAACTTACTTTTTTTAACCGATTAGAATGATTTTTTTTTGTTAGGTAGATATTCAAAAAGTCTATTAGGACACCAAATATCATGAATAAATCTCAATTTGCAGGGCCAACTAATCTTATTTTTCAAGGTCAAAAATCTAAAAAAATTACTAGCGATTTTTTTAGAAAAACTCTGACTACACCACTGGATTTGTGACATTTTCAAATGGGTAACATGTAAATTACGTTGAAATGCGTCAATCAATAAAAAAGTTATAAAGGAATGAAATTTGAAAAATATGCCGTTTAATCAACCCACCAATTCATGTTCAGGAATTTTATGAAAATTCTG